CCCCCCCCGGGGGGCCTTGGCGGCCCTTTCCCACCCCCAGCTTTTTTTTTTTTTTGCTGTCACATTACACATTTATGGATCCAGTCAGTCAGTCAAAACCTTTATTGGCATAATTTTTTTAAAAAATCATAAAAAATTGAATCTGCAAAGACAATCATCCCACCAGAGCTTTAACCATTTATTCTCTAACCCTCATAGCAATAGAGAGAAACCTCGCCACTGCAAAGGTAATATGAGGGCGGAGATCTGATAGAAGGAAGGATACTAGCCTCTCTTCTGGTCAACTGCGCCTATTGATCAAAAGGGGGCTGATTAGGACATCCCGTATTTTGTCGTAGAATTCACAACTAAGCAAGATGTGGGTAATTGATTCTGTGTTCCTGCTACTACATAGGCAGGTCCTTTCAGGGTATTATGGACCCAGTCACAGACGCACACACACCCCAACTTCATCTGGTCCCTAAAGACAGAGCACTGCACAGTTTCAAGGGTTTAGGAACAAGAAACAGCTGAGATCTGATGAGATCAGGTTCTGAGAAGGTTCTGTCAATTTAATCCTTCCAAAGCACAGTTTTCACCAGAGGGACACTTGCAAAGAAAAATATTGCTTCAATTTCTCTTGTACGCGCAAGTCAGGTTTGGTTTCTTCCACAAATAAGGTTTTATTTATTTCTTTTAAGCTTTGCAATGAAGCTCTGTCTTTATAGCATAACTGTATTGTGCACTCAGCCGTTGGTGCCTCGGGACAAAAGAAGTAATACATTCTACCTTATGGTGCCTAATGTTCATCTTTATTACTGCTTCCTGCTTAATATCATGAGGCTTCACTTATCGAAGTTACAGATCTAAGCTATAAGACCAAGCTAAAATACAGAAACCCAGCCTTTCAGGCAATTTGCGGGGTTTATGTGGATCGCATTGAACTGCTAAGCGACACCATCGGAAATCTCCAATATCTTTGCTGAAATGCAGCTATATGGGTTTAGAAAGGGATAGGCTGATTATTTGAAGCATGGTTGTGAAAGCCAGATAGTTTTCATTTCCTGGCATCAAGGGAGGTAATTTAGGAAGGGGCTGGCACATGGGCATGCCGTATGAACCACAGTGTGTGTCCCGGTCTTGACTGGAAGCTCCTGGGCACAGCGGGAGACGGTGGGAACCCGCTGGCCAGCCAGATAACCGTACTTACCCAGAGGACCAGGGAAAGGGACGAGAAGGCTGGAGGAGGACCGAACGCACGGGAGGTAGCTGCAGAGGAGACCAGAGACGGCAGCAGAGTCGGAGGCAGCGATGAGGGGGCCCCGAGGGAGCAGCAAAAGATGCAAAGCCAGGGTGCAGCTCGGGGGCGGGCCCGCATTGCTCCAAACCCTATGGCATGGAAGCCGGCGGAAGGGGCCATGCGGAATTGGGAACAAGCGGCGGCAGCTGATGCAGAGGCTGCAATGTGGATAGCATGCCGAGGCTGGACTGCGAAGCCGGAAAGATGGGTGGAGTCACAAGCCTCGGCGTCAAACCCTTTACCGTGGGGAGGACAATGGCAAGCGGATAGTGGAATTGATTATTATCGAGCAACTCCTCCAGATAATGCCAGGGCTAATTCATCACTGGGTGTCCTGTTGGCGCCCTACTTAGTTAAAGGAGGTGCAGGAATTGTGGGAGAACTACCAAGTGGCAGAGGGCTGAGAACCTCCCAGGAAGACGGAGGCCTGACTAGGCATGGCCCATACCGCCCCACCTCTGTTCATCTCCTGAGCTCCCCCAGGAAACCTACCAGGAGCAGCTCGTGGCGAAGGGGGAGGCGAGAAAGGCAAGCTAGACCCTAGACCACCAGAGGTTCCAGGGCCTGCCGACGCTGGACCCTGTTACACCTGTGGACAATAGGGCCACCTAAAACAGGAATGTCCGCTAATGGAATGTGATCTAGGTGAGGATTATTTGCTGCAAGAAGTCTCCGGCATGGACGGTGCTGGTGGAACTCAATGGTAACTGCTGGGAGGCCTTGCTGGACAGTGGCAGCTCCATATCAATGATCCTAATGAGCTTACTTCCTCCGGTACTACCGATCAGCCATTGGGCAATGATAGTGTGCTTTCACGGACATGCCGAGTGATGTCCTGTGGTAGCGGTACCCCTACAGTACTTGGGGAGACGGGCAGAGGTCCACCTGGCCCGGATGCCACAGTTACCCTGCAAAGTGTTGTTGGGGAGAGATGCCCCTGGTATATTAGAGGCCATCCAACAGTACCATGAAGGTGGACGAGCCCAGGAAGGCATAGCTATGGAGGCAGAAGAGGTGGCCATGAAAGATGAGGAAGACTCCAAGGAGGACCAAGAGGCAGGAAGCCCCAAGGCTGGCTCGTCCCTTACTCCAGATCCGCTGGCAGGCCCTCGGGAGCGGTGGATTGGTGACCCATCCTTTATAGCAGCCCAGGACCAGGATGAAGGGTTGGCCAAAATGTGGGACCAAGTGGCGGTAAGAGACGGGGTCACCCTGAACCCCTGAGATGGTCGCTTACCCCATGTCACCCAGACGGGAGGGCTCTGGCACCGAAGGGAGAAGGGGAGGATGGGCCCGATTGACCAGCTCCTAATCCCAGCAGAGTACCGGGAGGAGGCTGTGGAATGGGCTCATGATCACCAATGGGCAGGACACCGGGGGTTTCAGAGCACGATGGCCAGGATCTGACCCATTTCTTCTGGCCCACGATAGTTCAGGACGTACTGAGTTTTTGCAGAACCTGTCTGATCTGTCAGCATATGTCAAACCGTGTGGCGCCCAAGGCCCCCTTGTCCCCGATAACAGTAGTAGGGACACCCTTTGACAAGATAGCCATGGACTTTGTGGGTCCGTTGCCCCGCACCCCGAGGATTACATCCTGGTAATCATGGACTATGCCACCCGTTCCCCCGAAGCCATACCGCTCCCTAGCCTCAAGAGTGCAGGTATCGCCCGCACCTTGATGCATCTGTTTTCCCACGTGGGACTTCCCCGAGAAATACTGACAGATCGAGGCTCCCCGTTCACTGCATGGCTGATGAGGCAGGGGTGTGAGGTTCTCCATATACGCCAGCTGTTTATGGCTATCCATCACCCTCAAACGAATGGTTTAGTGGAGCAGATGAACCAGACCCTAAAAGGGATGTTAAGGAAGGTCTCCCGTGACCATCCTAGTGCCTGGGATCTCCTGGCTGACCCCCTCCTGTTTGTTATTTGAGAAGCGGAAGATGCAGAGCCAGGGCGCAGCTCGGGGGTGGGCCTGCATTGCTCCAAACCCTACGGCATGGAAGCCGGCGGAAGGGGCCGCACGGAATCGGAATCTGCAGTTCCTCCCTCCCCCCTTCTTGTGCGGGCAGGGAAACCCTACTATATAGAAGGCCCTGACTACGTGTTCCGCATCGCTGGGGCAGCATGGCGACCAGCGGCTCACCCTCACAGGGGCAGCGTGGGCGTGACAGTGTGCAATGTGCTTGGTTGAACGCATGAAGCTGCCTTACCCTGAATCGAGACTATTAGTCCATCAAGGCCAGTATTGTCTATTCAAACTGGCAGTGGCTGTCCAGAGTCTCAGTCTGAAGTCATTCACATCACCTTCTAGCTGATCTTTTTAACTGGATATGCCAGGGATTGGACCTGGGACCTTCTATGTGCCAAGCAGATTCTCTAGCACTGAGCCACAACCCATCCCTGTGGTTCATGCTGCCCTGTCAGATCTCGGAAGCTCAGCAGGGTGACCCTTGGCTAGCATTTGGAAGGGAGACCTCCAAGGAATACCAAGGTTGTGACACAGAGGCAAGCGATGGCAGACCACCTCTGAAACATCTCTTGCCTTAAAAACAAATCTAGCTCGCCACCTGGTGGTGCATAATGCTAAAGAGCTAGAACTTCTGGCTGCCAGACAATCTTAATTATTATATTGCCACCGAGCCCAACAGTCTTACTTCTCCACTTAAAAGCTCTTCATCCCAGATACTTTCATAGCCTTTAAAGAGAATTCAGCCGACCAATGGCCTTTACCCATACCACGCAGATTAATATTTTCTTCCCCGATAAAAGACTTGGACTGATGAAGCTGCCTTATGCCAAGTAAATCCATTAGCAAGATCAGTATTATCTACTCATACCAGCAGTGGAACAAGGAAAATCTTTCCTGACACAGCGACCCACGATCCTGCAACTGGAATGCCAGGGACTGAACCTTCTGTAAGCAAAGCCGGTGTTCTGCCACTAAGCGATGGGTCCTCTCAAGAATGGTGAAAATCCAGGAGGTTGGATATACAGAAAGGTTTGACAAGCCAATTAGAACTATGGCTATTCAAGCATCACATACTTCACCACCAAGGAAACCCTGCAAGGCATAGTCTCTCCCTTTAGCCGGTACAGATAATACAGATCCTGCTGTCCAACCCATAGATAAGCCATGAGAACCTTCTGTCTGCCATTCCTATAGGGTGAATTTGTCCATAAGCTTTTACAGGGAGAGTGCGGCCCTACTTCGACAAGATGCTGGGAGGTCCAGGAGTGGCTCACTGGAAACAAAGACCGGCAAAGAAAGAGGGTGCGTTATAACCCATCTTGCCTGCTCTGCAGCCCAGAATCTGGTTGCATTTCCCATCCACAATCCACTGGGAAGATCCAATTGTGGAAGTCCCATTTTTGCAGGATGAAGTCTCCAGCATAAATGTTGGTGTCAGGTCTAGGGGGTCCTAGAAATTAAGTAAACTAAGGACAAATTAGGACATTAGGAAGAACTTCCTGACAGTGCGGTTCCTCAGTGGAACAGGCTTCCTCAGTAAGTGGTGGGCTCTCCTTCTTTGGAGGTTTTCAAAAAGAGGCTAGTTGGCCATCTGACAGCAATGCAGAAATGCTGGTTGCCAATTTGGGGTCAGTAAGCAATCCTGGAGGTTTCTTGTCATCTTCTGGGCGTGTAATGGTGGTCACTGCGGGTGTGGAGGGGGAGGTATTTGTGAATTTCCTGCATTGCGCAGGGGGTTGGACTAGATGACCCTGGAGGTCCCTTCCAACTCTATGATTCTTGGTTAAACCAGACCACTCAAGTTTAACTCAGTGTGATGCTGCATGTTATGATGTCCTCGTATCCATCACAAGAACTTTGCATCAAATGTTTAAGGGGGATTTTGTGCCTTCCAGGTGCACATTGGCCTTTTTGTCTGCTTGCAACCACAACACATGGGGAGAAATCCTCCCCATAGGCTGTTTTCATGTTGTCAGACCATGCCATCAACTCACTATTGATTCTCTTGCAAAACCAAAATCATGTTCCTTACACGGCTACAGGCATTTTTCTCAGTGGAGAGACCATAGCCAGCCCACGGTGTGGTTGGAGGATTTGAAAACAACATACGGGGAGGAAGGCTGAAATCACTTCTTCCTGTATATCATCGTCATGACCAGAAAGGTCCTGATGCGCATCTGGGAGGCACAAAACTCCCATCACATGCTTCACACAACATCCTCATGGTGGACACATGAGCTTGGTAACATGAACAGACTGCCTCAACTGATGAAAAAGTTCTGTTTGGAAATTTTGTCATATAAATGCATGATTAACTTACAAAACTCACTGGGAAACAAGATCAAGCTGTAGCCAACCCTTCCAGCCTTCTAAGTGAGGGACATTTCCCTGGGAAAAGATCAGCACAAGACAACCAACCCAATTGCTATTGCCTTAGTTTTTAAGGATTAGAACAGGACTGTTTTTGTAGAAAAAGCCCAGCAGGAACTCATTAGCATAATAGACCACACCCAACAGCAGGAACTCATTAGCATATTAGGCCACACCCCTGACAGCGCAGCTCATTAGCCCATTAGGCTGCACCCCCATGTTACCAGAAGTGTGGTCATCCAGCCACACCCACCTTTTGCTTCTTATTCTGTTTACCTTGTTTGTTGTCAAACCAGGGCTCTTTTTGTAGCAGGAACTCCTTTGCATGTTAGGCCACAAACCCCTAACGTAGCCAATCCTAATGAGTTTCTGCTGTTGGGTGTGGCCTATTATGCTAACGAGTTTCTGCTGGGCGTGGCCAACTCGGGAGCCAGCCGGAACTCCGTTCCTGCGCGTTCCTGCCCAAAAATAGCCCTGCTCGCCACAGATACCTAAACGAAACCTCTGTGTTCAGAGGCCCTATGTATTGATGCTAATGGTTGCTAATGACAAATAAGGGAAGGCTGATGCCTTCGTGATCCTTTTGTGAGGTTCCCGAAGTCTTCTGCTTTGCTGCAGGAGGAGACAGAAAGCTTATTTAGACTGGATTTTGGTTTGATTCTAGTGACCACTATTTTCCCTGTTTTTCCAACCACCCTTTTCCTTGTTGTTTTTTTCTTCCATCTCTTTTATAATTAACTTTATAATTAACTTTTTTTGCTTAGTTTAGTGCAATTTCTCCTAATCTCTTCCCCGTGTACTAAATCACACAGGTGCTACATGGTTTATTATAAGGTATTTTGCAGGGTTTCCATCCTGTTACTTCATGATTGGTCTAGTACTGGACTGGAAGGATACCATTTCAGTGGGTCAGTCTAGATGTTCTCAAGTGGTTCCTGAGTGGTGCCACTGGTTACCATGGTGCTTTCCAAGGAACACTTGGTCTAATGGAGTTTCCCGGCAAGGGAAGGCATCTTCCCATGCTGTTTCACTTGGCTCTCAATATATAAGAAAGCATTCCCCCAGAAAAGTTCACCAGACAAAAATTATAATATTCAAGGAATCTTGGTGCAGTTGATTTGAAGCTACACAAACTCAACTGGGTGCATCTGTGCATTCCGCTGAAAGGAACTGTTAATAGAGAAAGCAGCTGAAACTACCGTTTTGAAGCGAGCCAAGAGACAAGCTTGCGTTATCTGGTGACACAAAGTCTGCTCCAAAAGCAGCCAGAGGAAATGAAATCACATGTGCATTGGGGAACATGAGAAGAAAGAAGGATCTATAAAATTAAACTGTAGCACATGGTTGGAACACAGATACACCATGGATGTATGTTCTTTCTGGCATATGGGTGGTAACTTTTAATGAGGTCTTTAGTAGGAATCTGTCATGCAATAATCTCCGAGTCACGCACACCCTTATACACATGGGTATAAGTAGAAAACAATCTTCCCTTGCAAACAATGTTAACCAGGTCCTATAGCCCACCCACTTCCCTTTAATTTTGCCCACTTAGCACTGAGTTTTTACAGTGTTGGGATCCAATAAGTAGAATTACAGTACCTCTTGTCAACGACAAGCAATGTAAGTTGTTTCTTTGACCTCTTACTCTCCCCAGCCTTCTTTTTGTGTTGCAGGGAGCACAGGGGAAATTTGCTTTGCAAAAACCTGTCAATCCTCAAAGAAAATTGGGTCTCAAACTAGCTAGTTAATACTGCAGAATTTTAAAAAAAATGTTTCAAGACCTTTTTTTGCATGGGACAGCAATTCACAGAGTGCTTCTTCAAGAAAAGGGACTTAGGGGTGGGGAAAATGAATTTATTTTCAGATTTTTGCACCTGCCAGGAAGAGGGATGTGCAGCCCAAAATTACTATATCAAGATCTGATGTGAATAACACCCATTCTTCAATATGATAAATGCTCAGAGCCTCAACATTGGTGGACAGATGAAAACTTTCCAATCAGACCAGTATTCTGGCACCAGTATTGCTGTCTGGCTCTGGTTTCTCAGACAATGAGAATGGTGAAAGGTGAGTCAGCAGGTATTTAACTGTAACAACAGTAGCACACAGCATTTATATCAGTCATGCCAAGCATTCAGCATACATTTTGAGAGTCCGTACAAGAGGCTTATAATAGGTAGGCTAACATTAGACTCGATAGATTCAGGTGGGGTAGCCATGTTGGTCGGAAGCAGCAGAGCATAGTTTGGGTCCAGGGGCACCTTTAAGACCAACAAAGTTTTATTTACAGTGTAAGCTTTTGTGTGCAAGCACACTTCCTCAGATACAGTGGAACAGAAGATCAGTAGGTTTCCGATATAGGGTGGTGTCTATGCATCCATTGTGTATTTTTACAATAGTGTCCAGAAAATGTATTTCTTGCATAGATTGGCTCATTGTCAGGTTGATGGTGGGGTGAAAGTCGTTGAATGCCTGGTGGAATATGTCCAGGGCTTCTTTACCATGTGTCCAAATGATAAAAAGGCCATCAATGAATCACAGGTATAAGAGATGTGTGAGTGGGTGGGAGTTTGGGAAGCATTGCTCCAAGGGGGGACACTCAATGGGGGACCTCAAAGTAGCTGTTTGTTAACTCTCGCATTTGTATGCTAATTTACTGCCATCCACAGATCTTTCTTACATCCAATCTCAGCTATAACCACCCAAGTACTTATGCACCTTGACTCTAAATGGCCCTTCCTGACAACAACCCCCACCCCCTATAAGTAATGGTTGAGGAGGTTCTGTTCTACTGTATCTGAGGAAGTGTGCTCGCACATGAAATCTTGTACCATGAATAAAACTTTGTTGGTCTTAAAGGTGCCACTGGACTCAAACTTCATTAGACTCTTTCACAATTGCAAGTGAGGAAGGAACAGTGCTAAGGGAAACTGCAGCCTGCCTGAAGCCCCAATAAGATTGTGCTTGAAGCAATATTTGATCCAAAGAGCTCCTTGAATACATGGACAGATATGAAGCTGCCTTATACTGAATTAGACCCTTGGTCCATTGAAGTCAGTATTGTCTCCCCAGTAGGTCTCAGGGTCTCACATAATCTCCTGCCTAATCCTTTTAACTGGAGATGCTGGGGATTGAACCTGGGACCTTCTACAATCCCAAGCAGATGCTCTACCACTGAGGTACAGCCCCCTCTTTGCAAACAACTCATATGCTTAGAGCTGAATTATAGGGCAAGGGTGGCAGGAGTATGCTTTGCGGGCAGAAGGTCATCCCAAATCCAGTCTGGTCAATGGATTCTCAGGTTGTAGGTGTGGGAGAAACCATGTTTTTTCTGAGGCCCCAGAGAACCATCAATCAGAGCAAACAGTGCTGATGCAGATAGACCAACAGTCTGACCTGATAAGACAGTTTCACATGTCCATAGAATGTACATGTACATTGGATATCAGAGATCTAATATCTTAATATTTATTTAAAGCAGCCATAAGACTCAATTTGTGTTGGAGCCACAACACAAGAGACCGAGCTTTAAGCTCTTGCTGGCTATTTTCCCAGCAGAAAGTCACTCCCACCAATTATTTGTTCTTTTGAGATGGAGGAAGAGACACTTGGACTGTAACAATCATTTTTCCCTACTACAGCTAATAGCTGCTGATGGAGTCATTTTAAGGGTTAAATCCCCTTCCCCCAGTTTGGTCCAGTGGTTAAGAGTGGCAGACTCTAATCTGGAGAACCGGGTTTGATTCCCCACTCCTCCACATGCAGCCAGCTGGGTGACCATGGGTCAGTCACAGTTCTCTCAGAGCTGTTCTCTCAAGAGCAGTTCTCTCAGAGCTCTCTCAGCCCCACCTACCTCACAGGGTGTCTGTTGTGGGGAAAGGAAGGGAAGGAGATTGTAAACTTCTCTGAGACTCCTTTGGGTAGTGAAGGGTGAGGTATAAATCCAATCTCCTCCTCCTCCTCCTCTTCTTCTTCTCCTTACCAGAGAACCAGGTATTCCCCATGGCTGATTTCAAATTGCTTTAGAACAGACCATAACTGCAGATGAACCAGCAAACTATGGCTTGCACTTGCCCAATCAAACTAGGACTGAAACTATAGTATGCTCAGCACTAGAGCCAATACAAAGACAAAATATTATTCGAGAGCAAAGCAAAAAAATAACACTTCACTTTTAAAAACGTCTTTGCTGAGAATTACTTTATTTTGAAAGTGCGTATGAAATCTTACTCTGTAGCCTGAATAGCCTAGTCTATCCCAAGCTTGTCAATAGTTGGAAGCTAAGCAGGTAGGTCCCTGGTTAGAACTTGGATGGGAGACCACCAGGTTGTTATGCAGAGAAAGGCAATGACAAACCACCTCTGCTCATCTCTTGCACTGAAAACCCTGTGGTCCTGTAGTTGCCATGAGTCAGTTGTGACTTGAGAGTCCATTATATTTTTTCTTTATACGCCATCTCTCCAGAGATCCACTTGAGGTCGCTCTAAAAGTAAATATGATAAAACAATGAAAACAGCATTATTAAAAATCCCAGCCATTAAAAGGGTGTAGAAAGGTGCTAACATACTAACAGAATACAGTAAATAGCATCAACGGTTGACTTCATTCAATGCATCTGAAGGTCTCTAAACACTTCCCAGTACTCATACCTTGAATAAACTCATACTCTGAATAAACCTTTGTTGGTCTTAAAAGTGCTACTGGACTCAACATTTGTTCTCCTGCTTCAGACCAACATGGGTGCCCACCTGGATCTAACTTCCCACTGCTATTAATGGTCTGCATTAATGTTTCCTCTACAGGTTGCCCAAGCTACAATGATGACCGGTTGCCATTTCCTTCTTCTGTTCTCTGTGACGCTGGCATCGTCCTCTGTTTATGGAGAAGATTCATCAAGGATTGCAGCCAACGGTAGAGTACACAAACGCTTGAGGAGAGAGTGGATCTGGAATAAGATGCACATTTCGGAAGAGAAGAATGAAACGCTGCCACATCATGTCGGGAGGGTAAGAATTTGGTGACTGCAAGGCATCACTGGTATGGGGGGGAAGCCCACTTTTCTTTACCAAGCAAACACAAAACAAAAAGGGTCTGCCACACCCATTCTAAGCTAGCGCTGCAGTCATAAACCTCCCAGAAAAGATTTAACAAATCCCCAATGTTTAGTACTTTTGCAAACGAATAGCTCTAGTATTCTCGCACTGTGAGCATAAGCTTAGCTCTGACCCTGACAAATGCACTTCATACAGACATTTCCAGAAATAAAGCAGATATGCTCTCCCCTCTTAGAAAACTTCTTTTTCTTGGGAACAATCCCAGGAAAAAATGAACTCTACAGAATTGTCTCTCGTCAGCGGAGGGCAACTCCCTTCAGCTGCCTGTCAGTCGACAGCACTGATCCAGAAAGATCGCCTTTGCTTCACCAGACAGCCTGACGGATCCCAAGTGTTGTACAGGGGAGGAAACCCTGCAGCCCCAGCTGTCAAGCAAAGTGTCAAACCCCACTCAAATGAAGAACGACGTCTGAAAAGCTTTGCCCGGCTGTCATGAAGTTAACTGAGGATTTTTAAAACTTACTGTCCTGTTGGATGTAACACACATATTTAGAAGAAGAAGAGATTGGATTTATACCCCACCTTTCACTACCTGGAGGAGTCTCAGAGTGGCTTACAATCTCCTCTCCCTTCCCCTCCCCACAACAGACACCCTGTGAGGTAGATGGGGCTGAGAGAGCTCTCCTAAGAACTGTCCTTCAGAGAACAGCTCTGACAGAACTATGGCTCGCCCAAGGTCATCCAGCAGCTGCATGTGGAGGAGTGGGTTCAGGTTCAACAACAAGTAAATCTCCACACACGTTTCCAGGGAAGCGTTATGCTTTATTAGACTACAGGCCACAAATATTAGTTCTTCTGGAGCAAATGGCAGCTTCAGAGGGTGGCCTCTATGGCATTATACCTCAGCAAAGTCCCTCCCCTCCCCAAACCCTGCCCTCACCAGGCCCCACCCCTAAATCTCCAGGAATTCCCCAGGCCAAAGCTGGCAACCCAGTGTCATCACCTCTGATCAAAGAAGTCATCCCAGAACTGGTTCATCAAAACCTTTCTTTGCTGATTATGGTTTTCTGCTGCCCAAAGAGTTCAGGCAGCACAGATTTTTTTTCCTCTCCGGCCCCATTTTCTGTTGCTAAATTTATTATGCTCCTGTCTCATTTACTGAGACCGCACACTATCTGCTCTCCGCCCAATACATATGATTGCCATGTTGTGTGAATACAGTGACCTGTGTATTTTCAAGCTTTGGTAGGCATGAATAAGTACCCACAACAATTCCACATTGCGAGGATAGTGCATACCACACTCTAGCGCTTCACGAGGTAGGAACATAACAGAATAGAACAATTCCCATGTCAGAATTAGCAATGAATCCAATTAAATATTACCAAATGCTATATGTATATATATATTTAATGAATAAAGTGCTGAAATATCTTAGTGTTTAAATTACAATAATAACAATGTAAATGTCTATGTATCATCCTATTAACAATCAATCATAGAAGTAAGTCCATCTTGAAAAAAATACAAACATGAAGCCCCCCCCAATCACATTAGTGTCCAGAAGAGGACATGTTTAAAGGGTCCTCCTTAAATTAACAAGTCACTGCAGGGGGACGTCTGTTGATCTTCAAGGTTTCAAAGCATCAGCAAAACCAAAACTCTGTGGACGTTCGATAGTATCCATTTCGAGTCACCTCTTGTTCAAGAGCTGATCATTGTTTCCTTTCTGTGGTCAGTGTTACGTATTAGGGCTGGAATATTCCATCCACTAATTACAGGACACATTCATAATGGAACACATTTACCTTCTAATTCACAATATCTCATTAGAGTGTTTCAAGCTGAGCCTATATATATGATTGATTATTAATTTCAGATCATATCAAGCATCCAGAACTCCAACGCTATGTACGTGCTCGAGGGGGACGGTGCCAACAGTATTTTCAAAGTTGACGAACATACTGGGGATGTGTCTGCATATGAGAGGCTGGACCGAGAACAGAAAGCTGAGTATCAGCTGACGGCTCACATTCTTGACCGTACAACCAATAAGTCATTGGAACCACCATCCAAGTTCCGTATCATCGTCCAGGACGTGAATGACAATGCCCCCGTATTTGATCAAAGAGTGTTTAATGGGTCTGTCTTGGAAATGTCACCTGTAGGTAAGCTCTTGATCTTTTTGCTTGCTTGTTGGTTGGCTGGCAGGATGTTTTCGCATGAAAACTTAACAAAACATAAATGTACACGTGTCAAATGCAGTAGGAAAATCATGGTGATTCTCCCTCAGCTGCTACTCAACGCTGGCAAAAAAAACAATTAAAGCCCCAGTCCAGCTCTAATCATACACAGCTGGTGTCCCTGGTATAACAAGGCAAGGCAGAAATGGTCATTAGACTGGACAGAGTATTCAGTAGACATTCTAGTTCCTAAACTATTAGCAGAAAATTCACTCATTTTAGCGAAATTTTTCATTCAGGCCATGAGAATTTGGGCAACTTACAAGAAAACAGCTGTTTTTATAGCTTACCCACTAGCCCTCTCCAGTCTGAATTCTTCC